ACATTTCTAAATATTAATGTGGTTAGCTCGGGATATCTAATTTCCCCCACAAATTCTAGAGTATGTATTCTAGAATTTATCAATATGATATCCATAAACTTTTTCCAAAAGTTTTAGTTCTCATTTCTTAATTCAATTTGTCAAAGTTGGCACTTTCCAACTTTCATTCACATAGCATTTAAATGCTTTGAAATCCTTATTTTTATTTTATTAATAAGGATACAACGTATAACAAAATACATCTTCTTTAATTAGAAAAATATATTGGATCACCAATATGATTTAATTACAAAAAAATTGTATTTCAAGAAATCACAAAAAGAGAAATCTTCTCAAGATACTTAAATCTTGTCAACAAATGAGATAGTAAGATTTCTTCCTTTTCCTCAAAAGAGAAAATTCGTCAAGATACTTAAATCTTATCAATAAACAAGAGAATATTAATCTCTTCAAATGGTGGTTTATCTCCACTATTCAACATTAAAGTTAGAATATATAAATTCTAATCTTAATCATTCATAATTTAGGATTGTATCTCCTAAATATGCTGTTCAAAATTCAGCCAAATCCAACGATTTAATTCTACAAAACGAGCTCTTAAGTAAACTGCTCGGATTTTATTTCAACAAAACATCCATTGTTGTTTACAACTATTTCGGATCTCAGAAAAATCAAAATCCGATCTCATCCATTCACATTGTAGATCATTATTTTGCAAATGTGATATCAAATCAAATCGAACCAACGATTCGATCTTCTTTTATGTTCTTGAGACAAGAACTACTCATGTGTTCTCATGAATTGAGCTTCTTTTTCTTTCTATTTCATTTCAATCATGCTTTTAATTGCAATGTAGTATGATTCATATATAAAACATATGTACATCAATATTATAATAAACATATTATTTGATATGTGACCACGACTTTCATACTAATTGATCATAGAAAGAAACAATAGATCAAGCATACTATATCAACATATACATAGTGTACACACGATTATATAATACCATCAAGTTTGGACGTAATATTTCATGGCATAAATTAATTCATGTCCAACATAATGAATTGATATAAATTCTCAAGCACGTAATCAATGCTTGTCCATGCAATAACACAATTCTAATGAATTAGTATGGCTTACGCAAATAATAATATGTATACTAATATTCCTCTTACTAAGTAACTCATACTTAATATACGAGACAAGTCTAATCGTTCATAGACAATAATAAAAACGTTAATAAGATCACGTACTCACGAATTTCATATAACATATTCGGAAATCAATCAACTGGACGGTTCCACATCAAATGAAAATTAGGAGAAAGCTAATCTCGTATCAAAACTATATGCAATTTATGTAAATAAATATTGCATTTTCATGAGAAATGTCATGTAGTATAGCACTTTTCATGCGGTTTATGATAAACGTATTCAAATAATTAGCACATACGCTATCACTTTATTGTATTTAGGATAAAATTAGTTATATCATTAATGTAGATACACAAACATAATGAATATTCATTAAAGCATGTATATTGTATATGGTTTACCATGCTTTCCAATATGAAAATTAAGCTATCATGCAATAATTCACCATTATATCATATAGCATTATCAATTTATTGCACAAATAGATATCTTATAATCAAAAAGCGTACCCGATAAATTATATGTTCATCAATTCAAATTTTGTGGGTAGCACCAAATCGTGTCAATATTATGGCAATGCTGAATGATTTAATCATATCTCTTCCGTCTGAAGTCCGATTTTGTTGATTCAATATGATCCGAATAGACAACAAAATTTTATACAACTTTTATCTTTTACATTTTCTGAGATTCGGACTGGATCATGATCAAAATAAGCCTCGAAGTTGGAATAGGTGTGCTGTAAATTTGCACCTACAATGGAACCACAAAAAAATATTAAATAATATTTATGAATCGAAAATAATATAAAACCTCATCATTATTCTTCGATTCAGTCTTCTTTCACCAAAATTTCGTGCATTGGACATTGGTGAGGCATTAATATGCGACAAGTTGCATTGGTCACGAATGGTTGTATTTTTCATGAAAAGGTGCATTGGCAGTTCTGGCACCTTTTCGTATATTTTTTGAGTGAAAAATCGGAAGCTTTTTCCATTTTTCTGCAATTCAAAGCTCTTGTTGAAAATCAAAGTGGATTAAAAATCAAGTCTTTACGAACGGATCATGGTGGTGAGTTTCTCTACACACCATTCATGGAGTATTGCAAGAAAAACGGGATTCAAAGACAACTCACCGTTCGTAGAAGTCCACAACAAAACGGTGTAGCCGAAAGGAAGAATAGAACCATTGTCGAGATGGCGAGGAGTATGCTTCAAGGAAAAAGCTTGCAAAAACAATTTTGGGCTGAAGCTGTTCACACGGCTATCTACATACTCAACCGGTCCCCGACAAAGGCGGTTCTAGATAAAACACCGTACGAAGCTTGGCATGAAAAGAAGCCAACGGTGGATCACTTGAGAGTTTTTGGCTGCATTGCCTACTCTCATATCTCAACTCCAAACCGAGACAAATACGATGAAAAAGGTGAAAAATTAATTCTTGTTGGCTACAGCGATGAGTCAAAGGGTTATCGTCTTTATAACCCCGAAACTAAAAAACTCATCGTGTCAAGAGATGTGATTTTTGACGAAATGGCCAAATGGAATAAAGAGGACAATTCTTCACCAAACTTGGTGTCAAATGATTCCTTGGAGTCATCTTTTGTACCGTAAGGGCAGCAGCAAAATGGAAATGAAACTCCATTAACAAGTCCTCAAGGAACACCTCAAAGAACACCTGAAAGAAGTTCCTCAAGTTCTTCGAGTTCGGATTCCGAATATCCTCCAAGAAAGGTACGATCATTAAAAGATATTTATGAGCAATGTGATATTGCTTTCTTTGGTTGTGAACCTCAGAATTTTGAAGAAGCATCAAAAGAAGAAGTTTGGAGAAAAGCCATGGAAGCCGAAATTGAAACAATTAAAAAAATAAAACTTGGGAGCTTGTGGATTTGCCACAAGGCAAAAATGTGAACGGCTTAAAGTGGGTGTTCAAAACCAAACTCAATGAAGACGGTTCTATCCAAAAACACAAGGCGAGATTAGTTGCAAAAGGGTATTCGCAGCAGCCCGGGATAGACTTCAATGAGACTTTTGCACCGGTAGCACGAATGGAGACAATTCGGTGTGTTCTTGCAATCGGAGCTCAATTGGGGCTGAATGTCTATCAATTGGATGTCAAATCCGCATTCCTTAATGGAGAGCTTAAAGAAGAAGTCTATGTTCATCAACCTCAAGGCTTTGAAGTTGCCGAGAAGGAGGAAAAAGTCTATCGTTTGAAGAAAGCTCTCTACGGATTAAAACAAGCACCACGAGCTTGGAATAGCAAAATCGATGGCTATTTTTGCAAGAATGGATTTCAAAAAAGTCCAAGTGAGCCCTCACTCTATGTAAAAAAGGAAGGTACTCAAGATTTTTTGATCATTTGTCTTTACGTTGATGATCTTATTTATCTTGGTACTAACATGAAAATGGTGAAGGAATTCAAGAAAAATATGATGCAAGAATTTGAGATGTCCTATTTGGGACTCATGAAATATTTTCTTGGAATTCAAGTAAAACAATCCGAGGGAGAGATTTTTATCTCTCAAGAAAAATACGTTGGTGATTTGTTAAAAAAGTTCAAGATGGAAAATTGCAAACCCGTGGCAACACCTTTGGCGGTGAATGAGAAGTTGCGACAAGACGATGGCGCTGAAAAAATTGATTCAAAAATATATCGAAGTCTTGTTGGTTCGCTTATCTATCTCACAAACACAAGACCCGACATAGTGCACTCTGTTAGCTATGTTTCGCGGTACATGAGTGAGCCAAGCAAGCTTCATTTTGCAGCGGCAAAGAGGATCCTTCGATACCTTCAAGGAACAAAGAAGCAAGGGTTGAAGTACGAAAAGGAAGAAAATAATGCCTTGATCGGTTTCACGGATAGTGATTGGGCAGGTTGTTTGGATGATCGAAAAAGCACTTCGGGCTATGTTTTCTCTCTTGGTTCGAAGGTGATTGCATGGAGTTCAAAGAAGCAAAAGACGGTTGCTTTATCTTCAAGCGAAGCCGAGTATATTGCCGCGGCGGATGCCGCTTGTGAAGCCGTGTGGCTTAGGAGAATTCTTTCGGATTTGCAAGAAAAGCAAGTGCATGCTACGACTATCTTTTGTGATAACATGTCTACAATTGCAATGACTAAAAATCCAGTCTTTCATGCAAGGTCCAAGCATATCGAGCTTCGACATCACTTCATACGTGATCTTGTTGAAGAAGAAGAAATCTCAATGAGATTTGTTAATACCAATGATCAAGCTGCTGATTTTCTTACCAAAGCCGTGACAATCGAGAAGTTTGAAAAGTTCAAGAAGAAGCTGAAAATTATGAATTAAGAGGGGGTGTTGAAAATAGTAATTCATATTTTCAATAATGAAGTTGGAACATCATTCAAAGATGAAGACTTGACTTGTAGAAGTCAAGAAGGTTTCTTGTAATTTGTTAAGTCTTTTACATTTCCTAAGAACTTGGGACTTGGAATGGAGTGTCTCTTTGTATCCATTCCTACCCTATAAATTGTACCCAAGATGAGATTTGTAAGTAAGCAAGAAAGCAATAATAACAACTAAAAACTAAAAATTTCCAGCACTAAAAACCTCTCTTGTTCTTAAGTAATACCATTGTTCTTCACATCATAAAAATCTCTACACCAATTCTTGGTGTTCTTTCTTAACACCACACTTCCGCATATTAAAAACCCCAAAAAATTCATTCAAAAATCACAAATAGGAAACAATACTCACAAAAATAAGTTTCACAAAAGCAGAAAATTTGTGCCAAACACATGATACGAAGAAATGACCGATGAACATCTTCTCGGTGTACATGCATTTAAATAGAAATTTACGACCATTGATTACCTTTATAGATCAGTACTTGAAGAATGGATTTTAGCTTCATCACCATCAACGGATCGCCACTCGCGCATCTTCTTCACAAAGGATGGGCTGCAATCATCCACCTCGACTAGAGTGACGGACTCCAATTGATCCGGGATGTTTTCCAATTTGTAGCAATGTCTAATAATCACATGGCTCAAACATGGGAATTGTTCACCGACGGATTCCCAGTGCACTATATCCAAGTCTTCCAGTAGCACATAGTCAAGCCCGGGGAACTGTGGGTCATTCGTTTTCCACACAGAGCCGCAAAAGGCATACCATCGCAGTTTGAGAACTCTAAGGGTCGGTAATAGTGCAATCACTTCCATTTTCTTCCACGGAAATCCACATCCACTCAGACATATCTTTTTAATGTAAACCGGAAATAATGGAAAGCAATGAACAACCTGAGACCTCAGATTTGGATTTACAATGACGCATTTGACCGACTCAAGTTCCTCATAGATAGAGGAAAAATGACCGGAAAAACTGAATGTTTCCATTGAGTCGTGTGCTGACTCAATCCGAACACCTATTCTCTGTAGGTTGGGGATTCTTGAAAGCACTTCCATGGTACAACTGTGTGCACTCACAGCTGATAGTGTTAAAAAATTCTCAAGATGAGAATCATCCGGAGGAGGAGGAGGTGGTACGTCAAAGCCCATGCAATAAAGTTGCTTCAGTTTATGCATGTGCCAAATCTCTACAGACAAAAATACCAGACCATTCGACAATTTTATGTTATGATGCTGGCAAAAATTCAAGACCTCAAGGTTCGAAAGTCTTGATATAGATTTGGGAAGTTCTCCATCACAGGTGATGGCAAGGTACGTCAAGTGAACTAATGCAAGTAGTTGATGTGGAACCTCGTAGAAGCGAATTGCAAGTGCATCTAATATCTTGAGCAAACTAAAATGCAAAGGAAATACTATTGGATATGATTGTTTTGGACCAAAACAAAGTAGAGATTGTGCATCCGGAACTGATTCCATCCATTCATGCACTTGTGTGAAAGCAAGAACCACGTTATTGTGCACGCAGAGACGCTCCTGACTTGTCAAGTTCTCTGGAGTACAATCGGCGTACTTTTTGAGGATATGGAAAAACTTTTTATTTTTAGCTTCGTTAACACAGGGACTTTGAAAGGTGAAATGTAGTCTACACTTCTTAGTTTTCTCAATATCTATAGACGTTTGTTTTTCGCTCAAAACAACACTTCGGCTAGCAAGTAGATCCAAATATTCTCCAGCAGTTTCTTCTGCATTTGAACTTCTAACATGTCGATCGAGAAAGCCCTCAGCAACCCATATTTTGATGAGCTTGGATCGAAAAATCGCGTAATGTTTTGGGAACACGGCCATATAAAGAAAGCATAGCTTAAGATACTGAGGCAACATTATGTTACTGAAATATAGTGCCTTTGAGAGGGGTGTATTGCCATCTCTTGTGATGACGAGTGGATCTTCATTTTCCGATAATGTCTTCCATTCTTGAAAAGATTTTCTGCGCAGGTTCTCTCCAACCTGTAAAATTGCCGCAGGGAGTTCTTCGCAGTTTCTGGCAATCTTCTTCCCAATTTTTTCAAGTTCCCGGCTGCACTTGTCCTCACTAGTAAATGCCGTCTGACGAAGCAGTTTCCAACTTTGGTCGTCCGTCAGCAACGGTAATAGGAAAACGTTGGGTTTGGGCAAGGTAATAGGTAATAGTAATGTTGTATTACTATTTAATACAATATTTAATTTATGCACTGGAGTTGCTCTAATACTAATACCAATACTAATATTACTAATCCTTATATTAATATGCGAATGTTAATACTAATACTAATACTAATACTAATATTAATTCTAGCCCGTATGGGTGCAGCTCAACTGGCCGGAGGTGGTAAGTTGGTACAAGGTCCTAGGATCGAATTCTGGCAGCCGCAGTGTGGGAATTTCAACTCCAATGAGGTTGGTTCCTTGTGGGCATGAGGTCCATGTCCGCTACCTTAACGGACCGTTGAGTCACCATGATTTATATTCCTCCATCAAATACTTGTCGGGCCAAGGGATAATACTAATAATTATACTAATATTGATATTGACACTGATACTACTAACATTTCGGTCAACTCAAAATCTCGTAATAGGGTTTCCGTTATAACCCCGGCACGTGGTGTCAAATTAAAGCTTAATACACGAGTGGTAGATGCTTACTCTACTTATTTTTTGTGTACATATAGCATAATGAAATGAAATGTATGTTGTGATGAATTGCGTTAGACCACATTTTTATTGTTAAGTAATATACCCTCAATAAGTAAATATTTTATAAATTATGAACATACAACAAATCATATAAGTATTAGTATTAAGTATGAGACAATCAACCAATATATATGTTTAGGGGTGGAAATTGGAACGAAAATTCCGATTTCCGCCGAATCCGATCCGAAATATTCCGATTTTGGAACGACTTTTTCAAATCCGAATTCCGAAATTCCGCTTTCCAAAAAATTCCGAAAAGAATCGGATCGGAATCGGAAATACATAACAGAATTTCGGAATTTCCGATTTCCGATCCAAAATTATTCCGATTATATCCGATTTATTCCGATTTTTCCAATTATTATTAATATTTATTACTATATATAATATATACTATATGTCTATCTATCCGTAGTCTGTACTAATTACTAGTAATATATATTAGTATATTACTAATATTTTTTTTGAGGGAGTACTTCTCTTCGTATGGTGACATTATGGAGCACCAGATTATGCTGGATCACAAAACTATAATATATATTATAGTTTTCCCCTTTTTTTTTTTTTTTTTTTTGGGAAAATTCCGAAAAAATTCCGAAAAATTCCGATTTTCTGAAAATTCCGAAAAAATCGGAATCGGAATCAATTTTTGAATTCCGAAAAAATCGGAATCGGAATTGGAAGGCATTTTGGACTTCCGAAAAAAATCGGAAATTTTCCGAAACACCCAAATCCGATCCGATCCGTCCGATTTCCACCCCTATATATGTTGAATGATTTAGGGTAATGTATTTAAAAGAAAAATATTTGACTTTGGTCATCGGAGATATTAAATGTAACTGCAAATCAGGGGAAGAAGAATATATTAAACTCGGGAAAATTAGAGCGATTCCCGAACTCGAAAAAATCATGTAAGGTAGAACCCTCTTAAAAAAATAATGTGAGGAAACCCCTTCAAAAATATAATTTGAGAAAACTCCTCCATATGTTTTTTCGCAAGTTTTAATTTACCTTGTGTTTTTTCGTGAAATTTGGATTAAACTGGACGCTAATCGACTATGTTGTTTGCATAGTCAATTTCTTAATCGACTATGCTAACAAAATAATTGAGTAGCGTCTAGTTTAATCCAAATTTCGCGAGAAAAAAAACAAAATCGCCGCCGTGCTTGACGTCCGCGGCCGCAACTCCACCGCCCTCGTTTGCAGCAAGTGATACGTCCTAGAGCGCACCACCCGCTCCGCCGTTACCCTCTGCGGCTACCTCTGTGACCTCTTCATGGCCGCCGCCTATTTCCGATCAACCTTCCATCTCGACCTTTCACTCCTCTCTCCTTGAAAGGAGTATGGGCCTATCTCAAAGAGTGAATTATGGTTAGGGCATTTTCCTATTAATGAAATGTTCGAGGGAGTTACATCAAAAAGCTCCTTTAAATTCGATGATTATTATGATATATTCCAAGTTTAACTATAAATAACATGTTAAAATACATATAAGTCTATTATATATTAGGGATTTTTATGCAAAAGTCCCCAACCAAGCATGTTTATTATTCTAGGTTTAGGGGACATATCTCTTTCACCAATAAGCCCATCCCTTTATATTTATTATAACTAAAGGAAACATTCATGTATATCCCAATATCACCCTCAACCATTTATACCCAATTCTTAATTGTAACCCCAATTTATCAATTTTGTCCACAAAAATCCAATTTTGACCACAAAAATTCAATTTTGACTTTTTTTTAGAGCATAATTTAATATGCTCCAATTTCATCCTTAACTTAATTTAATCTCAATTTGACCCCAAATTTCACAAATTTCTCAATTTTGACCCAAAACTTTTTTTTTCAAAAAAAAAAAATTCAAAAAAATTTTTTTTGCCGCCGGTCTCCGGCGTTGACTTTTCAATTTTTTTTCTTTTTTTTCTTTGTTCTGGATTTTTTCGCCGGTTTCCAGCGTTGACTTTTTTTTTTTTTTCTTTTTTTGCTTTTTTCTTTTTTTTCTTTTCTTTTGTTCCGGATTTTTTTCGCCGGTTTCCGGCGGTCTTCGGCGTTGACTTTTTTTAGTGTTTTTTTAAGTTTTTTTTTTGTTTGGTTTGTTTTGTTTTTCCACGTCCGCCGCTAAACGTTGACCGTAATTGTGTTGTCACTGATAGTAAATTAACGTAATTATACTGTCAATGATAGTTAATTAACGTAATTGTACTGCCGTTGACATTACATTTATGTAATTGTGCTGCCGTTGACAGTAAATTAATGCAATATTATTATTTTTTATTTATTATTATTATTTTTTTATTTTGTTTGATTTATTGACAAGTCAACGTAATTATATTGCTGTCGTTGACAGTAAAATAACTGTAAACGCAATAATATTACTGTCAACAACATCAATATTATTATTTTTTTGGGGTTTTTGTTTTGTTTGAGTTATTCACGGAGTAACGTATTAATATTACTGTCTATTATTGTAATATTACTGTAAACACAATAATATTACTGTGGTTGACGGTAATATTACTGTTGTTATAGTAATATTCATGCATGTCAACCACATCAATATTATTATTTTGTTTGGATTTTTTGTTTGTTTGAGTTATTCACGGAGTAACGTAATAATATTACTGTCTACTATTGTAATATTACTGTTGCTATAGTAATATTACTGTTGCTATAGTAATATTACTGTCACTCACAGTAATATTAATTCTTTTGGTTTTTTTTATTATGTTTACATTTGTTGAACCGACAACATAGTAATATTACTTTATTACACAATAATAATGAGTTTTGTTGTGTAAATATTAATGTGCTAGAGATTAATATAGCAATATCACTGTGTTAAACTATAGTTTAGTTAATTTTACTGTGTTTAACAGTAATATAGTTAATATTACTGTCATTCACAGCAATATTGCTGTTTAAACGGAAAAAAAAAGTTACAGAAAAAATAAAAATAAAAATAAAAAATAAAAAATAAAAAATAAAAAGTCAACGCCGGAGACCGGCGTTGACCGCCGGTCAACGGCGGAATCCGGAAAAAAAATCCGGAAGAAAGAAAAAAAAAATTAAAAAAGTCAACGCCGGAATCCGGCGGGAAAAAAAAAGTTTTTGAAAAAAACAATTTGTGAAAAAAAAAAGTTTTGGGTCAAAATTGAATAATTTGTGAAATTCGGGGTCAAATTGAAGTTAAATTAAGTTAAGGATGAAATTGGAGCATATTAAAGTAAGAGGGGTTATTTTAGTCCTTTACAAAAATCAGGACCATGTGTGGACTTATTGGTAAAAGAGATTATTGTCTGGATCTCTTTATAAATAAGTACTCACTGATGGGCTTATTTGTAATATGCCCTATATATTACTTGCATCTAAACAACAATTATATAAAATCGGAAGTGATTACATTCAAATATGGCAACACTTAGCAAATAATCATCGAATATATATTTCAATCATTACAAAATCATTACACTCGATGTATATTAGTAGCGCTTAATTCCACTTCTGCACCCCTTAAAAATAGTACTTTTGGCATTTTCACCCTCGAAAAAATTTAATAGCACTTTGCACCATTGAAATATAATAAATCATTTAGAATGCACCCCAAATATTTTTTAAAGTTAACAAGGCAAATTTGGCTTAATTCCACTTTACACCCTTGAAATATACAATTTTATTACTTTGCACTCACAAAACAAATTAATAGCACGTTGCACCCTCGAAACACAATATATCAGGCATAATGCACCCCACATGAGTTTTGAAAGCTAATAAAGGTAATCAATATTTTTAGTGGTATTTAAAATTAGATTTTTTATCACAAAAAAATATTTTACGAAAAAAAAATCCTTCAGCTATTTCTTTATCAAGTTATCTGAAAAACAAATTTTCTTCCAAATATTTATCTAATATTTTCACCAATTACAATAAAAGATCTATCAATCAAATAATTTAATGATAAAAAGTTTATTTGATTTTATTTTCTAAGAAAATATATATTTTTTTCAATTATCCCGGGTGATTTTTATTTTTTCGCACTTTGTGCGCTCGAAATTAGGTTGGATGTTGAAGGAGATAACAACTTAATTTGTTGTTTTGCAACCAGGAAAAAGAAAACCAATAAAAAATGAATTATCTTTTATTATTCAATTAATGGTGCATTGTGAATGATTTATTGTATTTTGAGGGTGCAAGGTGCCAAAAAAACGCCATTTCAAGGGTGCAAAATGGGATTACGCCGGCAAATTTCATATTTTTAGTTGTAATTCTATCAAGATGCAAATTGTCATATTAAACTTTTTATTTCTCTCGACCTAATCAACCCAATTTCGAAGCTATAAAGTAAAACTATCTCATTGAGACTTGTAGCAAAAAAAAAAAAAAAGGATATTCGTCTTACAAAACTTATAGCACCATATTATTCATCTTTACTGAAACTGGTAAAAGTAAATTGGTAGTGTTCTTTATATATGAGAAACTATAATTTGTAACTTATCTTATGATCATAAAATGGTTGAATGGTTGATGCATGTTAAATGCTTAATTTATACATTACACCATGAAAAAAGAATAACTCTAAGAAGATAAAAATACTCTCATTCACTTAAAGAGAAAAAAGAAAACCAATATCACGTGTAGTCTATTACGGTATTTTTCAAGGTTCAAATATTTTTATCTCTGTGGTGCAAAGTATCACCTTAAAAGTTAAAAGTTTTAATGTTATCCTCGGCCATAATTTCTCACCAAATTACTTAATAACTATGCTTGTTTATATTAACGAATCAACCAAATATTTTCAACCATTACTATAAAACACTCTACCAATTGAATAATTTAGTGATAATAGTTTATGAGAACTCATTTTTTTTGGGTTAGAAAATACAAGTTTTCAAGTAATTTAAGGAGACATTTTTTTTTCTTTTTACCTTTTCTCTCTCGAAATTAGATTGAAGGATATTCATCATTCCTGATTCATTTAGTCCTGATTCATGATAGTATTTTTATTAGGCTGAGTCTTCATCATCAAGGTGGGCTTCGCGGTTGGACTGAGCCTTGATTATATAATGTTCAAAAGCGAAAAATCCGTATATAGGCCGGAGTTAGGACTCCATCGGCCAAGTCAGTGATCTTTTCTAAAGTATTGGAATTGAATACATTAAATTATTCTTGATTGTAAAGTCTTTTTTTGTGAATAATGTTCTATTGCTTTTCGAGAGCCTACCTTCTCCAGCGGGCACCGCCCATATTTATAGGTAAAAATGGACGCCAACATTTCCTTCATTCCAGTTTAACATTCTAATCACCGTAAATATTACGAATTTTAAATTACCTCCAATAGAGTTTAATCTGTCATTTCAATAGCCAGTGAGAACGACTGCACAGGTAAAAAGTAGAGAATATTCCCTGTACCTTGTGAGATGATTGTACGTGCATTAAATGCTGCCATGTGCCTTCAGCAAGTGGTGTGGCGAGAAGGAAACTAATGATGAAACGGGATAGGCAGCGATAAGAGGTAGCGGGTAGGCGTCACCTAAGAAAGCCGGCACTCGAAGAAAAAACAGTAGTTCAGTTCGGCACTCAAGTTCCAGTGCTTCTATAAAGAGATAGGTTCTTCAGTTTAGCCCCATTTTTAAAGGTTTAGAGAAGAAAGCCCCTATGATTTCCAGAAAAGACAGATGTTGGTTTCTTGTGAAGTCGCAAAACAGTTCCAGGGCGCTTAGATCCACTTAGAGTTGTACACGGAATCCCTAATTCAAATTGAAATGTACAACGATCCATAAAAACTTTCTTTTCTTAAAATTAAAACAGAAAAAAAAATACATCCCCTCCTAGTAGACACGGCCATGGGCCAGTTTTCTGCCCGGAACCGGCCCGTTGACGATCGACCCGGACCGGCCCGTTGACAGGTGAACCTGTCCCGAAACTGTGAACCGGCCCATGTACCTTGGGACAAGCCCGGTTCTAGAAATAGGTGAACCGTGAACCGCCGGGCCGGCCCAGCGGTTCACCCGAATTTAAAAGAAAATAAAAAATTACAAAAAAGTTGAAAAAAGCTGAAACGGGCCAACTAACCG